ACATCCACACTTACTACTGTGGTCAATCTACATCTACAGGGCCTTAAACTCTAATAAAAACCTTGACAAAAAACAGCTTTCTTGATCGTTGTGACAGGAACCCACAGGCCTAACACCAGCCACAACATCTCTACGACATTCCCCGTGGCCTGAACTAAACCTTTAACAAAAATTCATTGTATGTCAAAGGCCCAAAAATTCTGGAATACCTCTACCGAGGAACTCTAGAACTCGCAGGCACATCATCACCTTCAAAGCTACCATTAAAAACATCTTATCTCCCTGATACACCAGTCAACTAACTACACAATACCACCTGGTGGTTCACTACTTACCCACATGAATCATTTGACCATAAAAAGAAATAATAATCCAATCTTAAAATAATGAATCCTGTGATACTCCAATACTGAAACTATGTACTGTGCCAAAACAAAAGCATTTACATTGCTAAACTCACAAACTAGTATTTAGTCACTTAGCCATAATACCAACTTACCTCATAATTTGTAATATTTTACAATTAAGAATAAAACTAAGTCTGCCCGAAATGCCTAGCCATGCTAAGCGTTCTAGTGGTACACTCTGTAATCACTATTTTACTACATGTAAACCACACAATAACCAAATTTCTGTAAACTCAGCATTGTAATCCTTATAGAGAATAAACTTTGAATTTGAATTTGAATTTGAACGCCAGCAAGGGTACCTCAGCTAGGCCATCATTATTGCCATTAGCTGCAACCTTTACATCAGTCACTGTAGTGTCAGGGTTATTAACATTATCATTATTGTCACCATTATTATAAGAATCACATACAAAACCCTGCACATAACTGTATGGTGCCTTCCCTTGTTTAAAAAACATTGAAAAGCAACTGTTCAATTTGGTATGACAATCCTTTACATTATGATTGTCTAGACATCTGATAAATCTGTCAAGTTCTTTCATTCTTTCCACTTTAATATCCCATGAATTATAGGCATTACAATTTTTAGTGACATGAGTACCCTGTCAGAAGATGCATTCTCTCTTTTCCTTGCCTGAACCTCTTATTAACTGGGTTACACTTTACTGAGGTACTTATTCCTCTTATACCTTGAGTGCAGAACCACTATAACTGATTCCCTGACTTGATATGTGCCTATTTAAACGTCTTAACTATGAATATTACCACTGGGATTATTTTTTCCCCTTTTGGCGACATGACAGATACATCAGAGTCATTATGTGTTATAACCTATTATTAGAACTGTTTTGGGCTGACTGGTCTGCAATTGAACAATTAATTCCTGCCGACCTAGTCTGATTTCCTCCAGACCGTAACTCTGGATGGTTATTAGGCAAACCCCACCCTTTGCATTAATAGTTGACCAACTGCCTGGCTTACCCCAACACCCTTAAATTTATTCAAAGCCTTACAGTTTACAAGAACAGTTTTTTTCTTCCAATTCGTAATGTTGATTAATTAAAACATTCATTTCCATTTCCAACCGCACAATTCTCCCAGCAGAATCTTTTTCCAGTCTTAAACACAATTTGGTACAAATCAAATCTACTCTCAAAAACATCTAAATATAACTTTAATTCATTAGGTTCAAGGTTCTTTGATTCACTAAATCAAATGCCTTCATCACATGGCTTTTAATAGCCCTGTAATGATGCTTCGCTTATCTAAAATTCACGACTTGTCAGCCAATTACGCCATCAGAGTCCAGTCAAGGTTAGAGAATTATTAATTCACAGATTATACAAACTAAGATCGGCACCTTATAAGAGTAATTCTTGCACATTAACTCTTGTATAAAATCCAAGCCACACATGTGCTAGTAAATTAATTGGGGCCTAAATATCATCCATCACACGAAAGATATTAAATCCTTGTGCACCCTACACCCACTTCCTTCAATCATTCACTTAATTATTAAGTAATTTAATTCAATTAATTTTTTCACTGATTGCAATTCCGTTTCAGGAAGACCAGCGGTCATATATGGAAATTTTATAGGGTGTGATTACCTTTATGTACCTAACATTACTATGGCTTACAAGTAAACTCATTGGGAGACAACCATAATTTGTTACCGTAGTCACCCCGTGTAGTAGACATGTGAGAAAACTTAACCACCCCTGGTCACGCAATGTTCCTTTCGACCTCCAACAATCTTAACCATATCTATCCGAGACCAGTATGATTGGATAGCACCCACAAGTACGGTTGCTACTAAATAATTGTTGGATTGATAGATTATATTAGTTTAAAACTAGAATGAAAGGGGGGTGGAGTAAAGGTTTACACATGGATATATCCATCAAGGAAAACACATGTACATAATCTCACAACTTGACCAGATTATTTCTCTGGTGGCACTGATGAGCAGGACTCACCCATAACCAATTCCATTACAACATACCAAACTGGCCAGTATCAGTACTGCTATAACTAGAAGGTATACTTAACTGTGGGTGATTGATACTCCATTATTACCCTCCATTCACCATCTCATTTCGATGTCCTGCTACAACCGACATGGATCTTTATTCCAGCAGTATGATGATCCGTCGTTTTTGTCCCTGGTTTAGAAGTCGTGATTTCCATAAAGCTTCACTAATCTACGTACGAAATCACAGTCGTTCACCTCGAGCAGGCGATCTATTTCACATCCCGCATTCCTCCTAACTCAATGTTTATTATCACAGAATCATTACCATTCACAAGACGATTTAACTCTCCTAATTAATTATACACATTAGAGGGTCACTCCATTAAGATCCTGAGGCCGAATGAGTGAGATTAACTCACAGGAATATTACCCCTGGACACACACCATTGGCCGCGCACCCCAGTCACACCCGTGTCGAACGCCATTATTCACTAATTTTACCACCATTTTTACGGTGGTCCCGAAAATCACGTTCCCTCACTCTTCACCAGAACAGTTACGACACTACCTATTAATGAAGTAGGCCCATATTAATCCATAGGCCGCCGTGTAAGCGCCACTTTCCTGGTTCCATGCTTTCCCAGCCTCCTCACTAAATTCAAAACTCTATTCCCCCCTCCTCCTCGTTCCCCAGCTCGACCTCAGTCCCTCGTCCCTCATCATCCCCCGCGCACATCCGTGCATGCGCAAAGGGAAACTCTTGGTTCTATCCTATTTCCAAATATATAATTGACTCATATCGACACAATTAAAACACCTAAAAGGCACTATAGTTTCGAAAATGAAAAATTTTCCACATTGGCCATCTCCCACATATCAGACACCTACACCTGTTTGAAGAGATAAATTAAAAATATATAGTTAAAATGGTTCACAAGTTCCATTTTGCATCCTATAAGAACCCTTGAAAAAACTCATCAGGACCTGGCGACATATATTTTGCTTCCCAGTCTGTCTATCTGCTTCACAACCATTTTTCACTAGTGAACTGTGATGTTAAATAATTTATCTTCTCTTAGCCCACTATAAAAAATTAATTTACTGGACAATTGTTAGGGATCTTTCCTGTTAAAAAACTGAGAGAAAAATAATTGTAATTAAAAATCGAGCAATTTCCATTCTCTTTTGTCAGTAAGGTGCCCATAGTTTATTTTTAAGGGACCTATCTTATCTCTAACTTTTGTTTCTATAGACCGCGAAAAAACTTTTTTGGTTAGTCAAGAATCCCTAGCCACTTAATTTCATAGTCCCCTTTTAGCTTTATCATACCCCCCCTTTTTAATGTCCCTCTTAATTGTCAATATACGATTCATAAGATGACCCTCACCTCTTTGATACACCTATAAATTCCTTTCTATGCCCTAGTAGATATTTGAGCCTATTTTTCATCCATTTTTGGGTTCATTTCTAAATTTGATCAAATTTTCTTTATATGGGAATTAAACGTTTTCTTTGAGCAGCAATGTATAGTGTTCAGAAACTGTCATATAATAGCTCACATCGTTACCCAGTCAACAGATGATAAGTGTTCTCTAAGCCTCATCGTAATCTGCTAAGCGAAAAACTGGGGACTGTTACTGAGTTTATCGCTACAACGTACATCCCATTAAATGCTAAATGTAATTGAATGAAATAATGTTGACAGTCCTCGATTACCCGCACTGACTTTTTCTTGGTTATCCTGGGTGGCTACCCTCCGGGGGTTAAAAATCCCAACAAATCTTATCTATCTTATCTTATCTTACAGAGGAAATAACATTTGAATTTTTAATTGAATTTTGATTAGGGCATCTCATGAATTTTTACAGGGTAGGTCTACAAAGGTGCTGTTAAAGTATAGAGAGTTTGATTCCATCCCAGTCCAGTGCAGTTAGTTATAAAAATATAATATAATAACCCTTTATTTCCTACAAGTATATGTACAAGGTATATAGGCCTAGCTGATATCAATGACATATGACTAAGATAGAAAGCCGCTTGTTATGCATAGTCATTCGGGCAAATTAGGTCACTTTTGTCCCAGGAAGCAAAAACCCATGAAAAATAAGTCACTCTGACTTTTTGGTTTATCCTAGGTTCCTTTACACCTATGTTGCTATGTATGATAATCTATATAACTGTATTTGTGTATACCCCACAACCAGTCGACTAACACCCAGGTACCCATTATACGATGGGCGAAACACAGACAACCGGTATAAGTGAAACACGTCCAATGTTTCTAACCCTTGTTTTACTCAGTTTAAGGCGAGGGAAAATATTTGCATGGACCTGTCACCTGTTCCACCACAAATAGCTGAATACATCACTTCCCTCATCTGCCCTCCCCTCCTTTCTCTTCTAATATCCAATCTTTCATTACCTATAATTTTATTACTCTCACCACTTTGCTCTCTCTCCTATGGTATTACTTTTAAATTTCCTTTTTTTTAATTTCCCTTCCAAACTCATCTACCAACTTTGCAACATTCCACTTTAGCTTATACAGTGGCCTGGTGAATTAAGTGTATATTATTATAAATCTAAAATCAAAAAGAATTAAGAGTATAAAATACCCATGACAGAGCAAGGTTGAATTCAGTGGATACGTTAAGTTTGAAACTATGTTTTACCATTTTCGACAACAGAATAATATCTCAAATTCATTAATTAACTTAATATTGAAAATAAATTAATCTATGAAAAAAATCAGAGAAGCAGTCTTGCATGTGTATTGACTTAAACAAAGTTCCTGGCGAGCAGTAATTATCTTGCACATGTCCTTTTCAAACTCATTCGTCAACTATCTTTAAGAAAGTGTAAGCTCGGCCATCATAAAATAAAGCTAGACAAGTATACATCAGCAATATTGTTGGGGTGGATGCGGGGGTTATTCAGGGACACCTTGAGTTGAAGGTATTTATGAGCCGTTGTCTGCCACCCTGAACCCCGAGAGGTCACCTCCACAACTTACGAGAATAAGAAGAATAAGAAGACTAAGAATAAGAAGAATAAGAAGAACTAAGACTAAGAAGGAATAAGAAGACAGAATAAGAAGACTAAGACAGAAGAAGAAGAAGAAGAATAAGAAGATGAAGAATAATAAGAAAAATAAGAAGACTAGAATAAGAAGAATAAGAAGAACTAGAAGAAGAAGAAGAATAAGAAGAAGAATAAGAAAATAAGAAGAATAAGAAGACTAAGAAAATATAGAAGAAACGAAGAATAGAAGACTAAGAAGAAGAAGAATAAGAAAAATAAGAAATTAATAAGAGAATAAGAAGAATAAGAAGAAGAATAATAAAAGAATAAGAAGAATAAGAAGAATAAGAATAAGAAGAATAAGAATAAAGAAAATAAGAAAGAATAAGAAGACTAAGAAGAAGAAGAAGAAGAAAAGAAGAAGAGAAGAAGAAGAAGAAAGAAGAAGAAGAAGAAGACAAGAAAAGAAGAAGATGAAGAAGAAGAAAAAAGAAAGGAGATCCACTTGCAGGAGGCCGGTTGGCTCCATACAAGGCGGTTCCTTTACAATATCATCCCACTAACCAAAACATTTGCCCAACCCAATTTCAAATGCACCCAAGAAATAACTCTGATGAAAGTCCCACCAAATCCAACCCCTCCCACTCATGTACGTTACCCAAATCTAAATTTGAAACTACCCAAAGTCCCAGCCTCATAACCCAACAGGTAGTTTCACAGTTTCCACTCATCAACTACCCAATTTCCAAACCAATACTTTCCGATGTCCTTCTAAATCTAAACTTATCTAATTTAAAACCATTACTGCGGTTCTCTCTTGGAGAGACATCCTCAGACCTTAATTAATTTATCCCCCCCCTTTAGTAATACCATCTTTCCACTTATACACTTCGATCAGTCTCCCCTCATTCTTTTCGTCTAACAATGAAAGTAACTTAAGAGTCTTCATCTTCTCATAAGGAAGATTTCTATTGCTATGTATTAATTTAGTATCCTACGCGTGAATGTTTTCTAACGAATTTATTCCATGATTCTGTAATATGGAGACCAGAACTGAGCTGCATAATCTAGGTTGAGGGGCCTTACTAATGAGGTATAAAAGCTGCAGTAATGACCTCTGGACTTCTGTGCTTACACTTCTTGATATAAATCTCATTAATCTATTTGCCTTATTAGGATACCTTAGGCATTGGCTTCCTTGGTTTAGAGGTTGCTGCTCAACCATATCCCACAATTCCTTTTCGGCAATCTGTATGGCTAAGTTCTACATCATTTAACTTATAAGTACTAGGGTTATTGGCACGTCCCAAGCTTTTCCCCAAAAAAAAAAGAAAATACCTTGCCATTTAGCTCATTGACTGCATTTTGCCAGTTATCTGACCAAGAATAGAGTATGTTCAAAACCTCTCCTGAAGTTCCATAACATCTACTTTTGAATCAATTATCCTACCCCTCTTTGTGTCATCGGCGACTTTGCTCATATCCATAGTAATTATTCCCGGTCCATCAAGATCATTGATATAATTAATAAACAACAACGGGCCCAGATACCTGATCCCTGTGGAACGCCACTTTTACAGATTCCCCACCGGATTTAACCCCATTTATGGACACTGCCCTTTTCCAGTCATGAGCCATGACATCCGATCCACGAGAGCACTTTTTTCCCCCCCAAAGCCATGAGCTGTCCACTTTCTTAACATTCCTATGGTGGTCGGAACTCTATCAAAGCCTTACTAAAATGCCTAAGTAAATAATATCAAATTCTTTATCGTGGTCAACAGCCTCAAAAGCTTTACTGAAGAGAAGTTAATAATTAGTTTAGACAAGACCGCCTCTTGTGAATCCAAGCTGAGATCATTAATCAAGCTATGCTTATCGATGGCTTCTTATAATCTCAGCTATAATTGACTTAAGTAATTTTGCCTACGAAATTGAGGTCAGGCTTATTGGCGGTAATTTGACGGTAACGGCTTGATTCCCCTGTTTATAAAATAGGAATTACATGGCTATGTAAAATTTTATAGTGTGATTACCTTTCTTTACCTCAACATTACATGCTTACAAGAAACTCCAATCTAAGGTTTGAAGTGCCTGCATCGTCCAAAGACCAAACCCATCTATAGTAGGACTAGTTTACCGCCCTCCTATCCAAGGACCAGTTTTCTTAGAAGAACTTTTTCCAGAGACTTGTCCGGAGTTGAAAGCAATTGCGAAACCAATAATACTGGGCGACTTCAATATCGTTTTCAGCATACAAAATAAACGGGCTAATGCAAAAAGGTATAAGCAAATTCCTAGATTAAATAGCTACAACCCAACTAATTAATACACCAACCCGATCACACAGTTCTCGAGCCACCCAAATTGACGCACATACTTGTGCAACCGCTCTGAGAACATAGTCAGACAGGCGTCCATTACCATCAGTCTTAGCGCTCATTTCATCATTTTACTGCACCAGGAAAACACTATGTATATGGATAGTGCCAACACAGGAGGAACAATAAAAATGAGGTCAACTAAAACTACACAAGTAAAGAAACATCTGGTAAATAGGCTACCGAACAATTGGACTGGACAGCGATAACAAGTTGCACAGGACGTAAACGATGCCTGGGAAAAATTCAAAACAATGTTCACTATACCATTCTTAATAATATTCACCATTTACAGAGGTTAGATTAAACGAAGTAACTGAACCCTGGTCGACTACGAGATATTTAGAAAATATGAAATTCAGAACCCAGCAGCTAAAAAGATTTTAAGCAAACAGACAGGATATTAGCAGCACTAAATAGAATACCAAATGGTTAGGAACGCAGAGTACAGTGCTTATAAAAGGAGCAAATGCAAAGCACTATGCTCAAAAATTGAAGAATATAAGCATAAACCCCATAAAAGCTCCTGGCAACAACTAAAACATTGGGGTATAGCCCATAAAGCCATAAGATATGGTCAAACATAGTACTCACTATCGATAATGAGGTATGCCACGGAAACAATCAAAGGTGGCAAATTCTTTATAATTCCTACAACACAACGGTTGCACCAACACTAGTAAGACAAACTACCAGCTGCAACAAATACCTTTAACATGTTACAGACTCTGATAAGTTTCAAACATACTTTTAAAAATAACCAATATAGGGGTAACCCCAAACAGTAGTCAACTAGTAAGTGTATCTCATGACTTCATTCAAAAAGAACTAACAGGTTATACCAACTAAGAAGCACAGGCCCTGATAACATCTCCCGTCTAAGTTCCCTAAAAGAAGGTGCTTCTGAACTTCCATCCCTATTGCTCAAATAATAAATCTATCAATCACCACTAATACCCGTACCGGAGGGTTCAAGGAGCCCAAGTTACCCTATCTTCAAGAAAAAGAAAAAGGTCTGATGTAAGCAACTATAGACCTGTTAGTATACTCAGTATAAATCTAAAATTTCTGGAGAGGCGGTGTATACTCAAGAGTTTTAAGTTACCTTACATGACAACAGCATTCTCCAAAGCTATCAATCGGGCTTTAGAAGATCCGACACAACCCGAATAAACCTCCCTTATTAATCTGATGTGATTACCTGAGGGAACAGAAATGTCAAAAGGGAACCCCTCCTAGGTATGTAACCTTAGACCTGCAAAAGGCCTTCGATACTGACAACCACAATAAATTAATGTAAAGAAACATCAAGCTATCGGTAAATAAGGTTCTGTAAGACTGGTTTTAAGTCCTCCTAGCAACAGTAGACAAATAGTCCAAAATCCACAAAACGGAATCATAACGCCCCTGCCGATAACATTTGTGAGTTCCCCCAAGGAATATTTCTGGGTCCCTTACTATTCTATGTTATGTCAAGATATGCCTATCAGTGTCAAGTGCAAACTCCTACTGTAAGCCAGATGACAGTGGCTCTGTTATGACAGGTAAAGACCCACAAGAAATATTGCTAATGGTTTTAACACTGGAACCTGGAGTCCTGCAGCAAATGGTTAGTAGACAACAAACTATCATTATACACCTAGGGAAAACTGAAGCCGTATTCTCTTGAACGAACCATACAACTATAAGGGTAAATAAATTTTAATTTCATGTAATGGGGATTCCCATCACTTTGGTTTCATCAGTTAAATATCAGGGAATCCCCTTACGCCATGCATGTCAGGACGAATTGATAGGGAACAGTGTAGTAAAGAAAGCGAATGCCAGGCTGAAGTTCCTGTAAATACAAGCACAGAGTCTACCTCCTGAGGCTCGCAGGCCTATGTCCTACCCTACTTACCAATGCCCATATGGATTACGCTTGCTCATCTTGGTACTTCACGCCTTGACAGAAAAAACAGAAAGTAGACTGCAAATCACCCAGAACAAAATCGTAAGATTCAACCTGGGGCTGGACTCAAGAGAACATGTAGCCAGGATGATTACAGCAGGTTGGATATGCTGAATGTTGAAGACAAGTAAAACCACTGAATCTAAATTCAAGTTTATAAAATTGCTCACGATCAGTGTCCAGAATATCTTGTTGTCAATTTTGTCAAGGTTTGAACCAAAGAAATCATAGTACTATGGGGAGAGAGCCACAACTTTGTAGTACCCACAGTCAGTGCCAGGCTT